CGCGTGCTATTGTACCTACTTTTTTATATCAAACCTACCTACTTATGTAAATGGTGACCCATTACATCTGCTCAGTCGAATGTCTGCGACCTGTGCACAGTCTATCAAACTCGCATGCGTCATAACGGTACGGCCGACCAAACCGAGGAGCTGGGAAAGCACACGGAGTCGGCTCGCCGAATGAGGTTCGTACACATAAATATCATTTTGATTTACCTGTTGGACCCTAATATCATTTTGTTTAACTTTGAACATCCAGACACGAGTACAAGAAAGACCGGGCTGCCGTACAGAGCAGGGATGAAGCCTCCAGTGATCTCGCAGTCATTGTGATGGATTTTGTTTTGCAAAATCTGACGATACCTTCGGTGACATGCACCCCATCGCAGTGGTATTTCTGCTCGTTGTTGGCGGTCAACGTCTATGGGATATTTTTCAAGAACACTGGAACGCAAACAAACTACGTGTACGACGAATTTACGAGCGGGAAGGGTAGTGACCAAATTAACTCGATGCTGCAGCACTTTATTCGCACGGTAGTTATTCCGTATGGCAAGAAGCATCTCGTTGTCTATGCGGATAACTGCACGGGGCAAAATAAGAATAACCACGTGATCGAGTTCTTTGTGGCTCTGGTACACATGGGTTTTCTCGAGCGAGTGGACTACAAGTTCTTTGTGAAAGGTCACACGAAGAACTCTTGTGACCGTGGATTCGGCCACGTTCGCAAGCACGTTTCTCGCCAGGATTGCTGGACAATGGATCATATTATCTTCGCTGTGAACAATTCTGCCACCTCCAACACTACCGTTCACATCTCGCGTGGCAGTATATTTTTTTAAGAGCTACAAACCAGTAGTGTCCGAGCTCTACAAGAACCTAACGAGCGTGCAGCAGTACCAGGTATTATCTATGGTTAATGATCAGCCTGGAGTTGTTTTGTGCCGCAAAGGACCCGACAATAAAGCAACTAGACAAGATCTGCGACGAAACGTTGATGGAGTTGCCACCGATGACATCAAAGTAGATCACATGTTCGCTCATTTTTGGAAGACCTGAACCCTCCTCCCCTCAACAGCAAAAAGATGCTAGATCTGCGCAACAAAATCCACCCGTATGTTCCGGAAGAGTTCTAAGATGATCCTATGTATGCAAAGCCAAGTGGGCAGCAACAGGGAGACGCTAAAGTGGCCAAACAAGCTCATCGAGAAGACCGAGCTTCAATGGCTGCAGCAGCGAAGGCTAACCAGGACCGCTGAGGCAGGGACGTTCAGGATGAGAGTCGTCCTACTCCCAAGAAGGCTCGTAAATAAAGCAGATCTATTCTGCAACAGACACATTTTGTTTAGTCAAAATGATACCTGTCTCCAAAATAATACAGAATGATACTTATGGTACCATGTCACTAATGTGAAACTGTGGATAAAATTGAAGTTTTGCACATGTTCCAATAACAATTGGAATAAACGGACAACACCATTGGCTCCGCGCGACAATTTTACGTCAGAATGTCAAATAAAAAATATATATTTTTCAATTTTGGAAACGAGATTTTTTTAACGGCTCACAACTCAGTGAGATCTCAGTCCTGGATGCTAAGCAGGTGCTCAAAAGATAGAGGAGACGCCCCTCTTTCCCGTGGTGTGCTTAAATCGCGATTCGTACTTAGGTTCATTAGTATTATTTTGTTTTGTGTGGTCTCATTTGTCAATTTTTAATGACATTGTACATGTGTTGGAATCGCGATTTGGGTTTCCAAAATTGAAAAAGGTATTTTTTTATTTGACATTCTGACGTAAAATTGTCGCGCGGAGCCAGTGGTGTTGTCCGTTTATTCAAATTGTTATTGGAACATGTGCAAAACTTCAATTATATCCACAGTTTCACATTAGTGACATTATAACATAAGTATCATTTTGTATTATTTTGGAGACAGGTATCATTTTGACTAAACAAAATGTGTCTGTTGCAGAATAGATCTGCTTTGTTTACGAGCCGTCTTGGGAGTAGGACGAATCTCATCCTGAACGTCCCTGCCTCGGCGGTCCTGGTTAGCCTTCGCTGCTGCAACCATTGAAGCTCGGTGTTCTCGACGAGCTTGTTTGGCCGCTTTAGCGTCTTCCTGTTGCAGCTCACTTGGCTTTGCATAGATAGGATCATCTTGGAACTCTTCCGGCACATACGGGTGGATTTTGTTGTGCAGATCTAGCATCTTTTCGCTGTTGAGGGGAGAAGGGTTCAGGTCTTCCAAAAAAAATGAGCGAACATGCGATCTACTTTGATGTCATCGGTGGCAACTCCATCAACGTTTCGTCGCAGATCTTGTCTAGTTGCTTCATTGTCGGGTCCTTTGCGGCACAAAACAACTCCAGGCTGATCTTTAACCATAGAGAATACCTGGTACTGCTGCACGCTCGTTAGGTTCTTGTAGAGCTCGGTCACTACTGGTTTGTAGCTCGTAAAAAATAAATTGCCACGCGAGATGTGAACGGTAGTGTTGGAGGTGGCAGAATTGTCCACAGCGGAGATAATATGATTCATTGTCCAGCAATCCTGGCGAGAAACGTGCTTGCGAATGTGGCCGAATCCGCGGTCACAAGAGTTCTTCGTGTGACCTTTCACAAAGAGCTTGTAGTCCACTCGCTCGAGAACACCCATGTGTACCAGAGCCACAAAGAACTTGATCACGTGGTTATTCTTATTTTGCCCCATGCAGTTGTCTGCATAGACAACGAGATGCTTGTTGCCGTACGGAATCACTACCGTGCGAATAAAGTGCTGCAGCATCGAGTTAATTTGGTCACTACCCTTCCCGCTCGTAAATTCGTCGTACACGTAGTTGTTTGCGTTCCAGTGTTATCGAAAAATATCCCAAAGACGTTGACCGCCAACAACGAGCAGAA